TCCTCTTTTCCTGTTTGCATACCCCTGATTGCCTTCTCTTCTCTGATTGCTCGACCCAGGACTTCCAATACTATGTTGAACAAGAGGGGTGAGAGTGGGCATCCTTGTCTTGTTCCAGTTTTCAGGGGAAATGGTTCCAATTTTTGTCCGTTTAGGAGTATGCTAGCTGTGGGTTTCTCATAGATGGCTTTTACTGTTTTGAGGTATGTTCCCCATATGCCTAGATGTTCGAGGGTTTTTATCAAGGAGGGGTGCTGGATTTTATCAAAAGCTTTTTCTGCATCTAATGATATAATCATGTAGTTTTTGTTTTAACATCTGTTGATGTATTTAATTACATTTATGATTTTACGAATGTTCAACCAGCCTTGCATCCCAGGTAGCCTACTTGGTCATGATGGATGATTTTTGAGATGTGTTGTTGAATCCGGTTTGCTAGGATCTTGTTGAGAATTTTAGCATCTATGTTCATCAAAGATATTGGCCTGTAGTTCTCTTTCTTTGTTCAGTCTTTACCTGGCTTGGGTATCAATGTGATGTTGGCTTCATAAGATGATTTGGGGAGAGTTTCATCTTTTTCAATCACCTGGAATACCTTCAGTAGGATTGGTATCAGCTCCTCTTTAAATGTCTTGTAGAATTCTGCTGGAAAGCCATGTGGACCAGGGCTTTTTTTGTAGATAGTTTTCTTATTATGTAGTTGATTTCCTTGATTGTTATTGGTCTATTTAGGGTCTCAATTTCTTCTTGTTTCAACCTAGGCAGGTTGTGTGATATCAGAATGTCCTCCATTTCCTCAGGTTTTCAAGTTTGTTTCCATACAAGTGTACGTAGTCGTCTCTAATGATCTTTTTTATTTCTTCAGGGTCAGATGTGACTGGATCTTTTGTGTTTCTGATTGTGCTTATTTTGGTTTTTTCTCTTTCTTTCTTGGTCAGTCTAGCTAGGGGACCATCGATCTTGTTTATCCTTTTGAAGAACCAGCTTTTTGTTTCATTGATTTTTTTTTTGTATTATCTTTTTGTCTTCTATGTCCTGGATTTGGGCTTTTATTTTCGTGATCTGGATTCTTCTGCTGAAATTCGGGTTTTTGTCATCTTCCTTTCCCAGCTTCCTTAGGTGGCTTGTTAGGCTGTTAATTTGTGATCCTTCCATTTTCTTCTTGTGTGTTTGTAGGGATATAAATTCTCCTCTTACTACAGCTTTCATGGCGTCCCAGAGATTTTGGTAAGATGTTTCTTCATTTTCAGTTTTTTCCAGTATCTTTTGATCTCTGTTTTGATTTCATCATTGACCCAGGAGTTGTTTAGCATCATGCTGTTTAGTGTCCATGTCTTTGTGGGTTTTGGGGGGACCATACTAGTAACATTTCTAAAAGATAATGTATATGAATCTCCTAGCCTAGTTCTTGGTATACAGTATGTGGTCAGTAAATACTAATTTCTCATTTCAGAAAATAGAATCAGAGTTAGGTGAGAAAGTGAAAAACGGCTTAGAGGAGCATCCGGATGAAGGAGTAGGATTTAGATCAGTTGATATTGGGGAGCACATTTTTGTAAGGAGATCACAAGAGCCAAGTAGCAAGGCCCACTTTGAGTGTAGGTGAAGGGTAGTGGGAAATATCACTACTGTATTAAGGTACTTTGTGTCACATTATAGAATATCTTTAGTGTGATTAAGAAGTTCATAATCAGTCTGTTAAGTAATAAGTAATTGAGGATGCTTTTTGAGCAGGAGAATTAACCTAATCAAAGCTGAGACATAGGGAGATTAATTTGGCAGTGATATGTCGTATTTGCTAGAGTAAGAAAAGACTGACCACAGAGAAACTAGTTTGGAGAACTTTATAATAATCTCAGTGAAGTTTAATGAGTCCTAATTAGTGTATTTCATGTCCCATTCTCTTTCAGTACCAAATTCAGAGACTTGCATCATCTTTATTTTAAATACATATTTCTGTTTATTTCTATAGTACCTTAAGGAGCACGTCCATAGAAACCATCCATCTTAACTTTTTAGCAGCACTATTAAATATAAAGGTCTGATAGTCTACTTAAGACTAGACTCCCAGTTTCAGATTCTTTCTCTTTACGCACTCCTGCATTTTAGGAGACACTCTTTGCACTAGCAGTCAGCAATTTAATATACTTGAGAATATTCAAGAATGTAGTGGGCAAGCATTTTTGTCAGGAAATTCAGAACTGTTAATGGTGTCACGAAAAGCCAAAAAGTATATTACCTTTTAGGTGCTGGCAATTTAGGAGGAGGAAAATTGGAAGAATGAGAGTTTGGAACTAAAGTTGGAGATTGGGGATTGGGCAGTGGACAATTGGGATGAAGATGTCCGACTACCCTCAGCCATCCTCATTTGTCTGAGATGATGGTGTTATATTTCCCTAGGAGTCTTCAGAGATTGCTTTTATCATGAGCACTATCTATTGTGTAACCTTTTTCCTAAAAATTTTCACTGGAATATTCAAATACTTTTAAGAAAATAATTAAAAGCTTTTTAATTATCTAAGATAGAAGGAAACACAAGAAATGGATAACATTTGTTGCCTTTGGGAAAAGAGGTTGGTGTCAGGGAAATTGTAGTAGAGCTTATATCATAAAAACATTTTGACAATTTGATGAAGAGTGTTGTGGTATGTTTGAAAATAAATTAAACTTTTTTTCTTTCTCTGTTAAGTGGATAGATTTCTAAGTGTGGTTAAATAATTAACTTTATTTGGAGGTAGCATAAATGGCCTGTATTTCTAGTTCATTGTCCAAATACTATATTTTGCAACTTTTGCAAAAATTACGTATCTATAAGTAATAATTGATGGTTTGAAATTAAATAAAAGAAAATACTACTAGCCTTTTAATCAGAAATGTTTTAATCACAAAACTTTTTCTCCCCCGCTAGGTTGGGTGTTGAAAACAAAGACATATTTTAGTAGAAATTCCCCTGTATTATTGCTTGGAAAATGTTACCATTTTAAATATGAAGGTAAGTGCTAAATTTGTAAACTATTTAAAAATCTTTGCAGAAATTCAGTGTGTAACTGTTTTTATTATTTTATTTCCAAGTTAACCTAGTTTGTCATTTTTCTGTTAAGTACTTGTATTTTGTTTAGCACATGACATATTACCATATAGTTTGGGTTTCTTGAGAACTACTTGAGAATCTTGTCATCTTTTATTATATCCCCCATAGTTTTGGACTTATGGTATGAATACTAAGTAAATGTTATTTGAATTGATGTATTAATATTCTTTATCAAGTTTTCTGATAACTTTATAAGATAACAAAAGTAACCATAGTTCATATAAAGAATGATAGTTTTTTCAATTCTTAAGGATGCTTTAGTATCTGAAATTGATTTGATGTTTCTGAATTTCTACATATTCTCCTTTCAATAATTATATTTTCTTTTAAAAATTTATGCCACTTATCAAGTGCCCAGCACTATGCTATGCTCTTTGGGAAATACCTTTACTTCTCATAACAAATCTGCAAGGTAGATTCAAGTATCCTTGTCTTTTTTTTTTTTTGATTTGGAGTCTCACTCTGTCACCCAGACTGGAGTGCAGTGGCCACTCCCGGCCACCGCAGCCTCGACCTGCTGGGCTCTGGTGATCCTTCCGCCTCTGCCTTCCAGGTAGCTGGAACTACAGGTGCACACTACCACACCTGACTAATTTTTTGATTTATTGTAGAGATGAAGTCTCGCCAAGTTGCCCAGGTGGGTCTCGAACCCGTGGGCTCAGGCAATCCACTCATCTCAGCCTCCCAAAGGCGCGGGATTACAGGCTGAGCCACCGAGCCTGGCTTGTATCCCTGTCTTTATGAATGTGAAGGCAGGAGTTTTGAGAAGTTAAACAAGTTGTCCAAGGTCACCAAATATTAAATGGCAGAGCTGAAATTTAAACCAAAACTATGTCTCTAATACTGGTATCCTTTTTAATATATATCTTTTTTCGGTTTTGTATTTTGTATGTGTGTGTGAGAGAAAGAGAAGGAGAAAGGGAAAGTGAACTGTGTGAAAGTGTGTTATTATCAAGACTTTTATTTATTTTTGGCTGACCTATTTTGGTATATCACTTATTAGCAATTTTCTGAATCCCTGTAAATGGCTTGTAATCATAACAGCTGACATTTATTGAGCATTTATAGTGTGCTAGGCAGTATTCTAAGTAATTTACGTGTATTAACTCATTGAGTTCTCACAATAATCTTGAAGGTTGAGTAGGAAGTTGATAGATCAAGAAAGGATGCATCTCAGGTAGATAGAATGGCATGATGAAAGCAATAGCAGTGAGGTATTAGAGGGCATATTTAGGAAACAAGAAACAGAGAGATGTCCGGTTTAGCTGTGGTGTGAGATAATTATGAAAGGATCAAATTATGGAGCAGGATCTTGAATACTGTCCTAAAGAGGTAAGTCCTCCCTCCCTCCCTCCCTCCCTCCCTCCTTCCCTCCTTCCTTCCTTCCTTCCTTCCTTCCTTCCTTCCCTCCCTTCTTCTTTCCCTGGCAGTGGACAGACACAGCAGTGTGGCTAAAAAGAGCAGTGTGACTTTGGGGTCAGATATGTCTGGGTTTGAATTTTGGCTCTTTTTACTTGTTACTTTGGGCAAGTTCTTTAATCTCCTTAAGTATTAATGATACCTATTTCATAGGTATTTTAGTGATGTGTCTGGTATATATAAGCATTCTAAATGATATTTATGATATAAGGAATTTCAAAAAAGTTATTAGAATTTTTTTTAGGGATTTTTTTGAATAAATACTTTGAAAACTCAAGAGAGGAAAAGGAAATTATATAGGAGCTATGAATGAGACAAATAGAAGGCTCTTCTGTTCTGGACTAGGAGTTGGGGTATGGGGAAAGGGAGTAAGGTGATGGGAGGCTGTATGTCCACTAAGAGGCTCTCTTGCTACCATCCCTGATGTTCATTAAAGTCAGCTAAGCTCATGAAATCCTTGATGTAAGAGAAGTGTTTTTGGAAAAGGATTGAATTTGACATCTGGAATGAGAAAGACAACACTATCATTATAGGAGCTAGAAGCATGTAGAACCATGAAAACTTAAGCTTTGGAGAATTGGCAGAAATCTTGGGGCTAGCTTTGGATTTCTACCTGTCATATAATTTTTGGTTCAAGTAAGTTTACTAAGTTTAGGGTTGGGGTACCCATCTGGCTTTTTTTTTTTTTTTTTTTAGTTGGAGTCTCACTCCGTCGCCCAGGCTGGAGTGCAGTGGCATGCTCACAGCCACCCCAGCGTCGACCTGCTGGGCTCCAGCGATCCCTCCATCCCAACCTTCCAAGTAGCCGTACCTACGCTGCCCCACCCGGCTAATTTTTAAAAATTTTTATTGTAGAGACAAGATCTCACTAAGTTGCCTGGGCTGGTCTCGAACCCACTGGCTCAGGTAATCCACTCGCTTCTGCCTCCCAAAGTGCTGGGATGACAGGCTGAGCCACTGAGCCTGGCCCAGTTGGCTTCTTAATTTCTACGATTATTATTATTCTCTTAGATTTTTGATCAAAGAATGCCAAATTTTATTTAGTTATTTTTGGTAATCTTTTGTTGAAAACTTGCTGGCTAAAACATTGATCATGCCTGGAAGGAACACATGATAGTCATAACTAATTATATGCTTGTGAAATAAAGAAATATATATATATTACTTCTGTCCCCAGTGTCTGACACAGACCTCCAAAAACTCTTGCAATCTCCTAAGTGTTAGAGTGCTAGGAACATCTTTTGTTCTAGTGTTTGGTCTTTGATCCCAGTTTCTGACACAGTTCATAAAACACTTGTAATTCCCTGAGTGATGGAGGTGATGTGGAAGTCTTATACAGAGCTCCTAAATCCCTTGGAATTTCCTGAGTGATTTGTCCTGATGAGGTGACCCTTGGTAGTCTCCTGAATGGGAGCTAGTTACCAGAAAGACCAGCCCATGATTAGAAGCTTGGAACTTTCAGCCCCATCCAATCCTCTGGGGAAGGGAAAGGAACTGGAGACTGAGTTGATAATTGATCATGCCTATTTGATGAAACCTCCGTAATAATCCCTAAAGTATGGGGTTTGGAGAGCTTCTGGGTTTGTGAATACATCTGTCTCCAGGGAGGGTAGTGTACCCCAACTATGGGAATGGAAGCTCCTGTGCTTGGGGCCTTTCTAGACCTTGCTTTATGTACTTCTTCATCTATAACCTTTATTATGCCCTTTATAATAAACAGCAAAATGTAAGTGCTTCTCTGAGTTCTGTGAGCCATGGTAGGAAATGATCGAACCTGAGGAGGGAGGAGTGGGAACTACTGATTTGTATCCAAGTTGGATGGAAGTATGGGCAACCTGGAACCTACTTCCTATGATGGCGTCTGGAAGTGGAGGTTGGTCTTATGGGACTGAGCCCTTTACCTGTGGTAACTTCAGGTGGTTAGTGTAATAATTGAATTATAGGACACTCAGTTGGTATCTGGAGAGTTGGAAAATTGGTTGGCATGGGAAAAACCTTCATATGTTTGGTGTCAGAAGTGAAATGTAATGTAGATGAAAAGAAAGTATGTGTTTCTATATAATGCTTTAGAAAGAGCTGATGGCGATGTAGAAGGAGTGAAAGTTAGCAGGTACAGTGACTTTGGTATAGAGCAGTGGAAATGGAAAGGAGGATATTGGATTTGAGATATTTTAAGGTAGAATCAACAGTATCTGGCAAATGATTGGATTTTGGGTCTTGAGAGACAGAGGAAACAAAGTCTTAAAGACCTTATCTTGAATGACAGGTAGTGTGAGTAACCAAGTATGGTATACTAGAGGAAGCTTGGATTTTAAGGAGGAAATAATTAATTTAAATTTGGACATGTGGTGTTTGAGATAGGCTGTTTGTAAATGAAGGGCAGGGGTATTGATTTGTTAGTTTTTGTTTTCAACAAGGTGGCATTTAAGGCCAGTAGGCCAATAGATAAGGTCACATTCATGGAAAGTATAAGTGGAAAATGTCTATCTTTAATGATGTACTGAGGAAGAAGGATCAGTGAATTAAACTGAGAAGAGAAGAGCAATACATAGGACCAAACCACAATAGTATGCTATCACAGAAACCACAGGAAAGAGATTTTCAGGAAAAAAGGAGCTGGACACATTGTATAAATGCTCACAGGAGGTTGAGCAGGAAATAGCCTGAGAAGAGGCTGTGGAATCCGGCAATGATAAATTGCTGATGCTCTTTAGAGAGCATTTTTGCTAGAGTGGTAAGGATAGAAAAGTAAAAGCAGTAATATCAACAGCAGCTAACCTACATTTACTGACTGTGGTTCTGTGTTATATACCAAAACCGCAAATTGTATTGTTTTATAGAGTGAATGGTTATGATATTGGAGTAGAGAAGAACTTCTTGTATAAAATATAAAAACAGTCTATAAGGGGAAATATTAATCAATTTTTTGAGTTGTAGTTTCACTCTGTTGCTCAGGCTGGAGTGCAGTGGCATACTCATGACCACTCCAGCATCGACCTGCTGGGCTCCGGCGATCCTTCTGCCTCAGCCTTCCAAGTAGTTGGAACTTCCACACCCAGCTAATTTTTGATTTACTGTAGAGACGAGGTCTCGCCAAGTTACCTGGGCTGGTCTCGAACATGCAGGCTCAGGCAGTCCGCTCGACTTGGCCTCCCAAAGTGCTGGGATTACAGACTGAGCCTGACCATATTAATCGACTTTACCACAAAATTATGACAAAAGACACCATAACAGTTAAAAGCAAGCCAGAGAGACAAGATATTTGTGTGCACTCTTTCTCTGTATGTATGTACCTATAATATAGGTATATATATTTGTGTGTATGCATGTGTGAAGATGTATTAGAAAATATCAGTCTCTAGAATAATAAAGAATCATAAATCACTATGGAAAGTATGAACAACCCAAGAAAAATGAGCCCATAAAATGAACTGGTGCTTTTAGAGTAAAAACGTGGATGGCTAAATATAAGAAAATGCTTA